AGAGGTTAAGTTATCTTCAAAGATCAAGGGGCAACCGCCTGGTGCCCTGTTCGCAATGTATTTGTATGAAGGAATATATAGAACTGAGTATTTTCAATTTGCAGAGAATTCTATAGATACATGAGCGTCAATTTGTGTGGCTCTTTTGTCTTGGTCTCACTTTGCGGATTCTTTGTCCATTGATGAATTTTTATGTTTTTTATTAGAAGTTAAATGAAAATAAATTACTTGTTATTTATTATCGACGATTTATTTTATTGATTGAGTTTCTTGATATACATTCAAGATTTTTTTTCTTGAGCTTGTGAACGAGTTGAGATGAAGATGAAGTTGGGTAAATTAGTAATTTAATAATAATTGTTGAGAAAAATTGTAATAGTTTGGTTGATTATTTTCTTATCGAATTTGAATTTGATTTTTTGTGTCTGCTAAAAAAGACACAAATAATAATATTTTATTTGAAGCACCAATTGTTTCTTCAATTATTTTTCTACTAAGATAGAACAATCATATATCACGTAATTTTTTCCAATAAAATAGTTGCTTATACCAACTTTAAATATTTTTTAAATATCTTCCTTTAGATATACTCTTATCATTGATAAAGTTTAATTTTTTTATTAATTATATTCTTATTATGTGAATGGAAAGAGAAAGGATCAAAATAAATTTTTTTAAATGATAGTTAATAAAATATTTAAATATTATTTTATTTATTGTATTTTTACTATAAAAAAAGTTAAATTGATAATTATATTATAAATTTAATACAAACTCCTAGTACATATTGGTACACATAGTATTATTTAATGTTATTTTGGGTTATCTTTTTGTTTTGAAAGATGTGATACGATTCAAAATTTAATGCATAATTAAAACAAGAATAATCTAGAAGAAATTTCTTCCCCTTAATAAACACTTGTTATACACAGGATTCTTAAAGACCGAAGCAAGGAAGGATAAGTTTTGAATTGATTTGCACATTCAGACTTTAATTTTCTTGTGCGTTGACTTTTGTACTATTTCAAGATGAAGAAATCCGCATCTTGGATGTACACTTAAATAATCTATATGCATAAAATATTGAAACAAATGTTAATTATAAATAGATGATATTCAATATTTCTCTTTCTACATAGATGACATATCGCTTCAATAAAAGAGTAAACGATAGATTTATTTTTATTATTTGTTTTATCGTAATAGCTTGTTTACTGTATATATAAAATATCGGTTCAATTAAAGGGTAATAGTTTAATTTATTTTATTTTCATTATTTGTTTTATCTTCTTTTAATGATGTATCTTAATTATTATATTAAAAAGAAAACTCTTTAATTCTTATTCAGATAAGAATTTATTTATTTTAAAAATAAAAATTTATAATTTATAATTATTTTTTTAATCTAATCTAAATACTAGTGTATATTATTGCAAATATATTTTTACATCCATATTTTTTTCATAAAATTAGTAAATAGTTGATATAATAAAAAATGTGGTAACATTTTTGAAATTAAATTATTTATTTTATATCAGATTCGTTTTATATATTTTTCAAGGTTTCATCTTTCTTACACACATAAGTTTTTTTTTTCTTCTCTAGGATGGTGAAAACTTTTTGGGCATATGAAATAAAATAGTACTTTCCTTAGGTTTATTCCAATGTCACATTCCATAACTGTTCTAGTAACCTCATCCCACATAAATAATAACACTAGTGAAGAGGTTTTTATAACGTTTATCTCCATTTTTTTCTTATTCATTATACATGTTTACACTAACAAGAATTAACCTTTAAATGTTATTCTTATTATTTATTTTATTTTTTGTATGCTTCAGGTTAAAGAAACCAGAGGAATTTAAGATAGAAGAAAAATAACCAAAAAAATTCAAAAGGATACAGGAGGAAAATAAGGAAGAAATACTGAAAAAATTAGTAGGAGAGACAAAAAATCAGAAGAGAAAAAAAGAACGAAAAAGTCTTAGCCAAGCCTAATCTAGAAGAGAAGGAAAAATAAAAGCCTTAGAAGAAAAAAATAGTTCATTTCTTTATACACTAACCTTTGATTCTCATTTATCAATAATCTTTTATAGTTTAAGTTTATACTTTGTGCACAGTTTTAAAATACAGTGAAACTCTCTTTATTTATACTCCCTTTATTCCTAAATAGGTGACTTTAAGATTGAATCATACAAAGTTTTATTATTTTTAATAAATTTGTAAATTTTTTTTTCGTTAGTACCCTTGTTATCTACCAATCTAAATTTATTATTATTAACTTATTTTCTTCCTATGTAATAAATAAAATTAAGAAATAAGAATTAATTAATAAAAAATAATTAATACAATATTAAATTTTAATAAGATATATTTATAAACATTTAAAAAAAACACATATTTTTTTAAAAATCTCTCTATATAATTGAATAATCGAATCACTTACTTATTTTGACCTAAATACAAGTAGAAGTTGTGTCCCACAATATCCTAAGCATAATTTAATATTAGTAAAGATTGCATTTTGGTCATTTCGAAATTAAGTAGCGAAAGAGAAAAGTAAAAAAAATGGGAAAGGGAGAGAAGAAAAAAAATGAAGAATAAGAGAATGGGAAAAGTGGAGAGAGATATTATAAGTTGAACAGGAACACAAGTCCCTTGTTAATGGAGGTTTGACAAAGGTTTTAGGATGCAAGCACGAGCAGAATAGAATGCAAGTGGACCTTCAACTTTTCACGAATCACAACAACCTTGGTGAACCCAGTTTAATGATAAACAAGACACCAAAGCACACGTCAGCTGACATAAATATATACTCGGTTGCAATCTAAAAAGGTCTTTGTTTCGTTTTTTCATTATTATGCCAAAAACTTGAATAACTTTCTTAGGAATGATTGTTCCAACTTGGTGAAGGAGGAGATGGCAAAGGAATTTGTTTATATTCGGAAGTTACAAAATAATAGTTTTTATCTTTCCACTATTGCTGATATATACAATGAAAAGACCCATGGTTCAATTTTCCTTGGACATTGCCTTGGATGCTTCAATGGGAGTAGCAACGGTCAAGTTCATGAGACATAACGTGTTTCTACTTTTATTGATGTTTATTCGTTTGAGGCTGTAAAATTAATCTAGTATCATATCTTCCGTATCTTTCTACACTGAATTGTGGGGACAACATATGTATCAAACTGTAGACAGTGAAACCAATAATTGGCACCCATTTTTAATAATATTTCCCTCTTTCCTCCCCAATCAATCAACAATGGGCTTTTTGGTCAATATAGGTCAACAATGGACACGTGTTATCTCCACCATCTTGGGGAATTGCCCAAACACTCCATGCTTCAAATTTGTCCCTGTTCTACACAAAATTAAATATTAATTGCCATAAATACGAAAGCGATATTTACATTGACTTGAGTGATAGGTTATATTGAAAGAGATTCAATTCTTATTATTTTTTCTATGCAAAATATTTCTTTAGAAAATATTAAATTCATTTTGATGATTTTTATACTGAGTTTTTTTTTTATACATATAAATATTTACATTGGTCCTCCCTTTCTTGTGATGAGAGTAGTTTTATAATAAGATTTTTTTTTACTAATATTAACATAATATTATATTAATATATAATTAAGTTTAACTAATTCTTTTTCTTAAATTGTAAAATTTAAACATATGTTATACTTATAAGCATTGATTGGATCTTGGATCCATAAACAAATAATTGCTTCGTGAGTATGTGAACTTGAAACTTTATCCGTACGGTACTACATACCAAAACCATTGATATTAAATTCTTTTCTTTAGTTTTTTAGTTATTTACATGCAAGTAAATTATGGCATGATAAACAATATAAATTATGTGATTTTTTTTATAGACATCATGTCAGGATTTATTTATAAATTAAGTCTCACAATTCATATTTTAATTGCGTTCTCTTTCTGATATTTATATTTTAATTTTATATTTATTAATTGACTTTTCGTAGCTTAAAAAATTAATTTGAAAAAGAGACTTTCTTAAAAATAACTAATCAAATTCTTTGGCAACAATTGACAAGACAGTGACCAAGTTACTTTTTTTTTTTTTTTTTTTAACTGAGAAAACTCTTTAGTTAAACCAACTTATTTCAGCATTTAATACTCAAACTCAAAGGTGTGATTCAGATGGATGGCAGTGCTTTTTCTTTATTTCTTTATTTTTTGAGGATGCAGTAGTGGTTTAATGTAACCCATTCTGCAAGAAACCGTACAAATGCTTTTTGTGTTGGTTAATACAGTGTTAGGAAGCTAATTTGGGTCATAGGTATCTTTATTCTGGATGAAAGAAAAAGTTATTCTGCCGGCCAAACAATGCTTCTTCATGTGCAACATTAGCTTTGGTCAATACCAAAGGAAAAAGAAAAAGGTTAAATTTAAGAACCAACTTGCCATAACATTATATTATCATCATCTCATGATGTGCCTCTCTGCCACTCCCTGTTTTATAAAGTAGCTGAACTTAACTATAAAGAGTGCCACAAAATTAGGACATTAAGATAAAAAGGGTAGTCATAAAAACCATAAAATATGTAAAAAAATAAACAAAAATACCCAGCTGAGCTTTATTCCAATTCACCCATACATGATTAAAATAAATTTAGACAAACTGAGGATATACAGATGACAGGTGAGGAAAATTTACAACAAATTGAGGCATATGATACAGGGCAACTTAAACTACCTTATCTGAAAATGATAGATGGTTTTTTTAGTATTTACATAAATTCTTGCATAAAAAACTATAGAGTGAGTTTAGTGAAACTTGATTATTTGTGATGATGGACACTGAAGTTTGACACCCCCACGTCATGCTGCCATATTGGATTGGATACTTCAATTCATTCAAGGTTCTACCAAGTAGCCCAAAAGTGAAAGGAACAAAGAAAAAAGAGAGAGGCAGCACAAACATCAAAAAGGAAAATTGGCCTACTTGTGTTCAGTAATGGAACTTAAAATGATTCCCAAAGAAAAGGCTCCTCAAGCCGAAAACCCAGTTCGGCTCCGGCTACAAGCCAAGCCGAGGAATAATGAAACTCATCAGTTCCATGGCTCAAGTCAAGAGATAGATCAGGAAGGTCCATGAATGTATCATCCTCACCGTTGAAAGAAGAATTGGATGATGATGATGACGACGATGAAGATTGAGTCAGGCTTGAGGTGGAACCGGCTCGACTCAGCTCAGACTCGGCTTCATGGCTTTGGTGGCCGAAATCCAAGGCGGCCGCTTTAGCCGCCGCGACCTGGATATCCTTGGGTGAGTTGGTGGCGGGGCGGGGCATCTTGGCGGCTAATTCGGGGAAATTGAGGAAAGCCGAGCTGCCTTTGATGGTGAGGGCCGCCACGTCGTGGGCTCGAGCCGCCATGTCCGGCGTGGGAAAAGTTCCAAGCCAAATTCTTGATTTCTTCCTTGGCTCTCTAATTTCGGATACCCATTTGCCCCATTGGCGCATGCGCACTCCTCTATAAGTAGGGTGGTTTCCATGATTGGTATCGGTTCTCTTGTTTTTCTTGTCCTTAGTGTTAGTGGGGCGTTGGTCTATGGAGGAGGAGGAGGAGGAGGTGGTGGTGGTGGTGGTGGTGGAGGAGTGAGTAATGGAGAAAGAGGATGCTGAGGTGGTTGGTTGAAGTTCACTTTCCAGAGGGCTTGATTCTTCCATGTCCATTGGGGAATGGAAGGAGGTGGAGAAATAATTGCGATGGAGTGTGTGAAGGAAAAATGTGGTGAATAGAGATTTTGAAATAGAGGTGGGTTGAGCTGTGAACTACTTAGTACTTATAATTCTTTCCCATATTAAAGAAATGGGTCCAAGTGAAAAAGAGAAACAGTTGCATTGCATTGCATTGCATTGTTTCCACTTTCCATTATATTCATATTCTTCTACATCTCTCTCTTTCTTTTTGGCATTTTGATTCACAGGTACTTCTAGTAGTATAAATTAAATCCTTACACCTTCCTTCCCCTTAAAGAATAATGGCCGTATTCTTAAACTACCCATGGATCCATTTTAATGTTCCTTCTCAATAAACTAGTTTATTAAATACGCGACGAGACATTGGTAACTGTAAGTATCGTACTATTAATTCGTATTATTATTATTTTATTGTTTGGTTTGTTTTTAAGCCTGTTTTATTTGATGCTAATTATTAAAGGTACTTTTTGTGGAGTGATTCAATGTTAATTAATTCGTTGGCAGCATGTCATTTCATTCTAATTGAACGGCCGGATTAATTAGGGGCAATTTAATCCATAAATGGTGGGCTCTAGGATCATAAGTGGCATGTCTTATGCATCATCATCATCATAACATAATTGATCATTATGTGAGAGATTAGGTGTCACTCTGTCCGCATCTGTGTAGTTATCCTTAATCCCAAATCAAAAGTGGAGAAAAAGATAATAAAAAAATGGACACCAATGGTCGTAATATATTCAATTCAATTTCACCTCTTTTTGTTTTCACTCACAATTGAGGATATTTTCGGTACGTACCAAACTTGGTGGACCCTTCTCATTTTCTTTATCGCAAAAACAAATCATATCCTCGACCTCATACTGTCCTTTATGCTTCTACTGCCCAAACCCTTTCTTTGCATATCACTAAACAAACAATTCTATTGGGTCTCATTTTTATTTCAACTCAAACCCAGTCTTAACTCTCTTTTTTTTTTCTTTTTTTTTTCAAATTTCAGTTTTGTGGAAAAAAATATGTAGTTGAAAGAACAGTTTTCATTGTAGATGATTAACTATATTATATTTTTTATAAATAATAATCGATAAAGTGAATAAGGAAAACAAAATAGAGTGAATTATATGTTCTAGATGCTTTTTTTTCCTTTATTTTCGCATTTGTCATGTAAATGTTGGAGTCAATTGAAGAGAATGGGTGAAGCAGGTGGTTGTGTGTCAGTAGTGACTACAAATGACATCATTGATTTTTATATTCTTCCACAATGTCGCTGCTTGTAGAACATTCTCTTTCTTATGGTTGCCTTATTTTTCTGAGGACATTTTTTTGTTTTTGATCTGTTGCTGTGTCAAATAAATGTAGCCGGCAAGTGTAACATTCCAATTTGGTTTTCTTATCTTTTTCACAGTTTTATGTTTTACTTTAGTAAAGTAAAAAAGAAAAACGTTATTAAAATCTAATATTAAGGATGCCTATAGATTCATGTCTCGATTTTAAACTTAAATGAGTTGGAACACTATTTGTTTAACGGATGATTAGTTTTGTGCTGAAAAAAGGATTTCACATTTTCACTTAAATCTCGTTAAAGTTATTAAAAAGTAAATTTGTATTAAATGTATTAGTTTATTTACGTATGTTCGTTTTCAGGTAAATGATGAAGAGAAATGATTAGGATAGAAAAATAAGTTGAAAAAAAAATGTTTTCTTTGTTTGTTGGTTAGTAAGAAAAGTTGCAGAATCATTTTCTTTTTCACCCATGTGTTTTATTTTTTATTAATATATAAGAAAAAATAATAAAAATTACAAAATTATCTCATTATATATATAGATGAGATGAAACTAAATTTTAAAATAGCTAGGTCCAAAATATCTAAAAAAAAATTAGATTAAGAAATTTTTTTGACCTTTATTAATTTTTTTTTACTTATATTAAATTTAGATTTAGATATGATCTATATAAGTTTAAATCATATTAATTTGTAAATTTATGAATAGAGTGGTTTTATAGAATAATAAATATTATTTTACTAATATATTTATATATAAAATTAATTTGATTAAATATTTAATATTTTAGAAATAAATTAAAATAAATATTTAACAATAATTTATTTTTAGATTTAATTGTTAAAATTAATTATTATCTTAAATCAATTAATTACTTAAAAAAATTCAATCTTTATTTTAAAATTGAATAGATTCATTCTCTTATTATTTATATATTAAATTAAAATATAAACTAATTTTATTAATATAATTTAAATTTTAAAAATATTTATTTAATTAATTGTTTTAATATAAATATTATTTTTTTATTTTAATTATATAAAAATTGATTTATTAACTTGTTAATGTAATATAGATCAGATAATACTAAAAGTTATGACTTATTTAAAATATAAGTCAAATTAAAATATATTTTTTTACATGACTTTTTAGTTAGTTAGTCTAATATAAAAACAAATTAATTAATAATTATTATTTATTTTAAAATATAGGTTAAATTATTATTATTATTATTTTACATAACAAAATCAGAGTATACTGAATTCGACTAGACATTTGGAGACTCTTAATAACACCATAGAAGTGAAAATGATGAACCTATTACCCTAATTTATTTCAACCGCACTACTCATTCTCCCGGTATAAAAATAACCTTAAGATCCAACTTACTAAATATAGACTAATTTAGAATTATTCTTACTTAATATGAGTTGTCATTAAATAAGAAAATATATTTTTTCAACAATAACCCGTTGGAGCTTCATATTGTTACTTAAACAATTATATGATAATTTTTTATGCGCATTCGTATACTATTTCTTTGAGAAATTTCCTCAACAATTTGTTCCATCTCATGTATTGAGAATGGAATATCGCAACATTTATATCAGTCTAAGACTACCAATATACCACTACTACAAATAAGGTTTTTCACGTCGGTTCGGAAGGCGCTTCAACGTGAAAGTCGAAATTATTTATTTATTTTCAACACTCTTTTATATTATATTTTTATTATTTATCATATTTATTTGAAGTTTAGAGCATTACCAAATTAATTTTTTATCATTGACGAATTCGAACCCAGTACCTTAGTATTGAAGGTCGATACTCCAACCACTAAACTACTCGAATTTTTTGATAGTAACTTACAAATAAATTATATTTATATACAAATAAATATATATCAGTGTAAATATATAAATATATAAATACAAATATATTTATATATTTTGATATATTTATATAATTATATATTTATGTGTTGGATGTGAAGGCACGCTCGAAGGTGAAAGTGTGTGTCGAGTGGGTTTTCAAAATTTTAGTGGATGTGAGGGCACGCTCGAAGACATAAGCAATAAATTTTAAATATTAGTCATGATTTTAGGTATAACTATTCTGAACTTCCTTTCATCCATTAAAGATATGTTAATGATCTAATCTACGGCTTTACAATTGAATTATGATCTTTAATTAAGTAGGTAATGAACTAATTTAACCAAAATAGGTTTACATACACAAAATTAGTATTTTTTAGTGGATGAGTATTGATGTTTTTAGTAACTTAGAAGTCTTGTTTTTAACCCAAATCAATTGAAATAGAATTTGGTTTATCTTTAAGTTTTTGGGATTGTAAATTAGAATTATAAGCTACAATGTTTATAATTTTAGAATTTACTATAATATTTTCTAAACAAATTGAAGTTTTTCCTAATCATAATAACGTGAAGAAATAGTATATAGTTATATTTTTGTAATCTATGAGTCTTTATAAAAATATATATATTCACAAAAACATAAAACTTTGTCCATCAAAAGTCATCCTCAAACTATAAAAATCTAAGCCAACGATAAATTAGAGAGCTAAAGATAAACTCAGTAACTTGGAACATTTTGTCAATTGCTTCGAGATAAAGAGTGTTAGTGTCATGTGTGACTGATCTAACACTAATTTCATCTTTATGTTACTTTTCACATTATTTGTAGAAGAAAGTGATGTTAAAGATTTTAATATAAAAGTACTTCTCATCGTTAATATCCAACGTAAAAAAAGTACTGAAATAATTACGATTTTTTTTTCTTTTAATATAATTTTTAATTAATTTATGAGTTTTATAATAAATTTTCCACACTTATTCATATAGAAAATAGATTGTGTAGAAGGAATTATTGTTACTTTTTCTACAAAATGATTATTGATCTTATCCGAAAATGAAACGTTTTTTCTTTTTAAGATGTTAATAAGGTGGAATTTTTTATGTCCGAGTTCAACGATATATGTAAAAAAGAAAAAGTTCAACATGAAATGAACAAAATATATAACGATCTTAAAAATCGCTATTATAATGATGTTTTTGTAAAGTAGTAAACAAGTAAATAATAATATATATTTTACATTATATTACTGTAATTGTAACATAGATTGAAATTTCGGTTCACTAACGGAACTTCAAAATATAGTAACATAATTTATTTATATATTATACATGTAAAAGTAGCTCTCTCGAAGCTATCCCACTGAACTATCCCTGTTGTCCAGTAGTCACATCACCATCTCTCAACTCCTGATCTGCTCCCACATAAAAATGATCATCGTAGTCCCATCCACATTGAAAAATAGGGGTAAGTATTAAATCATTTGATATAATAAAACATATATAGAAGTAATAATTATATAATATGATCAATTACGAAATTATTAACACACTAAGACACATTCCGGAAGTATACCCTAACTATGTCCGAACTCAGAGGCTATCATCTGTGGGCACAATGTGATCGGTACCCATAGTACCATTCTGACCACCCTCCACACAGAGTAGGATTACTGGCGCCATTCATCACTCATACTGGAGTACCCCTCCGAGCGCGCCACCAGTCATCCCCCATCGACTTCTCACCACCTGATCTCGTAGTCTACCTGACCCGACCAATCAATGAAGTCTAGGACCTCATTCAGAATCCTCCGACAT